AGGACTTCATTCATGCATTACACAAGTAGGCTTTGAGAGTGGGCATGGTATGTCTCTTTTACGATATGATGATTATGAGTTGAATGTATGATTTATATGAATTATGAATATGAACTATACTTATGACTTCTTCATGAGCTTTACTTAGTGTGAGTGGGGGTATGGGACTTCACTTATACATTGCACAAGTAGACTTATAAAAGGGTTAGGGTGTGGGTTCCTTATGCTATAAAGATATATGAATTATGTATGCATGATATGGATTGTGGCTAAAGGTGACTTTACCTATTTCAAGTTCTGAATATGAATTTGTCTCCTTGTTTATGAGTGTTGGCTATGAATAAGGTTAAGGTATGTTATGCATGATCATGGTGGCCTAGAAGTGATACTTAGTGTAATATGAGATTATGGGATCCTATCTATGCATTGCACAAGTATAACTTAGGATTGCTTATGTGATAGTTCTATTATGGTGATATGGTCTTGGTATGTAACTATGTATGTGAATTATGCCTTGTGAAGATTGGAATATTTATTATGTGGTATTGGAGACTATGCTTGTGATTATGATGATATCCTTTATGTTATGATGGATTGTGCATGGTTTGGCTTATGGGCTACATTCTCCATCTATTTCAAAGATGATGTTCAAAAGTGGCATATAGCATGGTTTCAAATAAAATGTCCCTTTTATGCTTGGCTTCCATACTTAGTGCTTTTTGTGCTAACCCCATATTTGTACATATTCTACAAGTGTAGGGTTTGGAGATATTGGATTCCATCCTCATGGCTAGTACCATAGTAGATCAAAAAGAAAAAGATTGGTGAGTCCTCATAGTTTCCGAGGGCTTGACCATATGTCCTTTATATCTTTCTTTTATGTTTTAGACTTATGCAAAGGGCTATGTCCCTAAGATTGTATTCAAGAGTTTTAATTCAAATGTTATATATGGTTTGAGACATAGTGTTATAGACTCTCTCTCATTTCATAAAAGACTTCGATTGTAAAGAAAAGTTCTAAATTTTCCGCATTTTCCCCTATGTTCTTATGCCATGATATGCTAAGGGATTGTATGAGACCCCTTCGGTGTCAAGTACTCTGTGTTACGTCTAGGGGATATCCCTGGGTCGTGACACCGGTCGTGGGAAATGCGGTGTTCCACATGACAAGCACGATGTTGCAACTCTTGCAAATGAAAGGGTTATTTGGAGGATTGTCTCATAAGGATCCCCATGACCATATTCACAATTTTTTGGACGTTTGTGGTCCCTTCTCGTTCAAGAAAATATACCAAGAATATGTTCGACTCCGATTATTCCCTTTTTCTCTGGTGGGAGAGGCTACCAAAAGGTTAGCCGACCTACCTAGGGACTCAATCACCACTTGGGATGAACTTAGTGAGGCGTTCTTCGTCAGATTCTTTCCTCCCTCGAAGATGATGTCATTAAGGGACAATATCCAAGGCTTCAAACCCTTGGATGGTGAGCCTATCAACGAGACTTGGCTATGGTTTCAGAAATTGCTACTCCAATATCTGACTCACGGACATCCAAACGACATCTTGCTACAACATTTCTATTGGAGTCTACATTCGGTAAACGAAGGGGTGGCTGACCAACTTGTCCGTGGAGGTATCATGCAACAACATTTTGAGATCGCATCTACTTTACTTGATGGGATGAATAAGATCAATCGGGCTTGGTACACAAGAGAGGATCAAGTGTCTCCTTTAACATTTAGGATGATGAAAGAACAAATTGAAAAAGACCAAGAACAAGATCAAAACATGGACAAAATGATGACCCAAATGGATTTTTTGTCAAAACATGTTATGGGTAGTGGGTTTGAGGCTGTGAGTGTTATCGGTGTTAGTGGGGTAACCCCGATGATGCACACTTTGAGGCTCTATATAATGAGGAAGTGAGTTTCCTTGTAGATCAAAGGGATGGTTTCCGTCTGAACTATCCAAGGCCGAACGGGAATCAAGGTTGGAATAGAGATCACGATGACGGTTGGAGAGACCGTGAGCAGGAATGGCGTGATCATGGAAACAAGTGGAAGGAGAATGATGGGGACAAGGAGAAATACGTGCCCCCATGAGCGTCAAAAGCCAAAAGATCAAAGGGTTGACCCCGAGAGTTTCCAAATGGAAGATATGCTTTCACGCATTCTTACCAAAGTGGAAGGGTACGATAAAGTTTTAAGGGAATTGAAAGATGACGTCTCAACTTTCAATCAGACGGTGACCTCTCACTCGATGTCCATTAAACAGCTGGAGATACAAATGGGTCAAATCTAGACTCATTTGAATCAAAAGCCAAAAGTAGGGATGTCGTGTGACACAATGGCCAATCCCAAGAATAAAGCTTTAATGGGTATCTTCGTAGTGCCACAACGTTAACTAAGGCGCTTCTTGGAGGTGACCCAAGTTTTTTATGCTTTTAATATTGCTTTTGAATAACGGGTGTTGAATGTGGAAGTTGAAAATTTGAAATTGTGGGAAAATAAGCAGTAGACGAGCCAAAGGTCTAGTCTGCGACTCGCCGAACATGTCAGCGAACCTAACTTGGACCACCGTTTGAACCATCCATTTTGCTGGAGGTTCAGTAAAATTTGGTGGACTAAAGTACCACTCGGTGCATCGCCAAGTGGGTCAGTGATGTAAGTCGTAATCGCCGACTGGAGCGCGAACTGATGAGTGAAAAAAGGCCAAACCGTTTTTAAATCCAAAATCTCTCTCATTTCATACTTTTCGACTTCCAAACTTTCACAACTACAAATTTCCTTGTTTTTGTACTAGTTACTTATTTTTACTTGGGATCGTTGACTCGGGGTGGATTTTTGGATTCGTTGCTAGCCTAGCTTTTCAAATTTTCCAGGTCTCAGGTTGGTTTTTCGAACCTCGTCTTTAAATTTTGATGAAATCGATGGTATGATCATTGTGTAGTTGTTTTCATTGCGTAAATGATAATTATTGATTGTGTGTTGTTGATGTCTACCCGTATTTAGTTTTAATTGTGTTAATTGGCTTTAAATCGTAAAATCCCGAGTCCAAACATGTCTAATTGTGTGGGTTGTGTTGATTACATTGTGGATCTAGTTTGGGTGAAGTCTGAGTAACCCTGAGTTGTGCCGATTATCGAATTTTGCCTAACGATAGAGCGGTTGACGTCATTCTTAAGGGCAAAAGACGTCGATGAGCCAATTTTGGCCAAATCATGGGAAGTGTAAGTACCCCGAGGGCATGGGTAGTATGGATTTAAGCCTAATTGAATAAAATAATAGTTTAATTTTGTTTACGGGGGCTGTGGGTTAGATTTTGAAGGTTAGGGTGAAAATATGGCAGGTTGGACTATTCGGTGGTCGAGCTCGCCGAGTAGTTCAACGGTTTGCATAAAGACCCCTCGATTTCTTTTTAAATTCTCTATGTTTGAGGACTAAGTTCTGTAACTTTCGGTGATACGCCTGATCTCGCCGAGAGTCCCTTCTGATCGCCCTTCTACGCCCCTAATCCCTAAATTAATTTTGTAACTTTCGACGAGCTACTTCTAGTTCGTCGAATGGCAAATTGTGTTCTACTAGGTTGCTGCGTCCGCTCATATGACCCCATCTTAAGGTATTTTTTTGTGAAAATCCCCTTATACTGGTCTTGATCGTGTATTGGTTGGTAATGCTACTTTACTTGATATTAAAAACATTGGATACTCGAAGTTACCCTCTATATCTCGTCCATTAGACTTGCACTTCATGTTTCATGTTCATCAACTTCGTCATAATTTAATTTCTTTAGAGAAGTTCTATAAGGATAACATTTGTTCTATTGATTTTGACTCTTCTTCCGTTTCTGTTAAGGACAAAGCCACGGGTCAAACTCTCGTGCAAGCTTCCAGTGAGGGTGATGTTTATCCGCTAGCATCTTTATCAGTGTCTTCTTATTCTCAAGTATGTGTTGCTATTTGTCAATCTGGAGATATTTGGCATCGTAGATTAGGCCATAATGGAGTTAAGACTTTAGATTATCTTAGGATAAATAATTACATTAGCTTGCTCAATTCTGTTTGTAGTGATTGTGCCCCTTGTCGGCTAGGAAAATCTAAACGTTTACCTTTTAATTTAGTGGATCATTGTAGTTCTTCTCATTTAGATATTATTCACTCAGATGTTTGACAATCACATGTTTTTATCAAACTTGGGATTTAAATACTATGTTATTTTTCTTGATGATTTTTCTCAGTTTACATGGTTATACCCTATGAAAAATAAATCAGAAGTGTTTCTACATTTTTGTGCTTTTCAAAAACTAGCAGAGAACATGTTCAACACTAAAATATAGTTCTTTCAAAGTGATGGAGGCGGCGAATTTGATAACACATCTATGCTCTCACATTTTTCTTACTCGGGTATTTTCTTTCGTAAGTCATGTCCCAACACTCCTCAACAAAATGGGGTTACTGAACGGAAACATCAACACATTATTGAAATAGTGCATACCGTCCTCGCAGAGGCCATTTTGCCAGCACAATTTTGGGTTGATGCTGCCTATTATGCAGTTTATACCATTAATAGACTGCCAACACCTATTTTACAAGGACATTCCCCCGTTGGAAACCTTTTTCTTAAATGACCAGACTATAATTTTCTTAGAGTTTTTGGTTGTGAATGCTTCCCTAACCTTTTTGCTTGGGTATCTCACAAGCTTACACCTCGTTCGATCCATTGCATTTTTCTAGGTTATGCATCTAAGTCTAAATGATATCATTGTCTAGATCCCAAATCCGGGTGTGTCTATGTTAATCGCCATGTTGTGTTTCATGAGTCGGTATATCCGTACACTGCATAATCTTGTCCTTCAAAAGTGTCTTCCTCATCCATCTCTCTAGATTCACTTGTGGTGACATCACCCTTATTTACTCCGCAACCATATGTACCCGCAACTCCCTCTAATCTTCCTTCTTCTAGTTCTCCTCCATCTGCTCCTTGTTCTACCTCATTAACTTTGATGCCACCTACAGATCCATCTAGTGGATCTCACTATAATGATATTTCTATATCTTTATCCACCGTATTGCCTATCACTAGTTCTTCCGCTTCTGCATCCGCATCTGCCACTACAACTCATCAAATGCAAACTCGTTCCAAATCTGGTATTTCTATAATTCAGATGGGTCAATTGAGCGTTACAAAGCCCGTCTTGTAGCACAAGGTTTTCACTAACAACCTAGTATTGATTACCATGAGACTTTTAGTCCTGTTGTTCGGGCTACTACTATTCGTATTGTATTATCTTCAGCTATTTCTAACTCTTGGCCTATTCGTCTGTTAGATGTCAAAAATGTCTTCTTATATGGTATTCTTAAGGAGGAAGTCTTTATGAAACAACCTCCAGGTTTTATTCATCCCGACTTTCCTCATCATGCCCCAAGAGCATGGTTTCATCGTTTTAGTACATTTCTCTTTTCTCATGGTTTCACTTACCGTAAATCTGATACTTCTATGTTTGTTCACCATTCTGCATCAGGTATCCTTGTCCTATTACTTTATGTTGATGATATTATTCTCACTGGTAGTCATTCACAATTGCTTGATCAGTTCATTAGCCTTCTTTCTAGTCAATTTTCCATGAAAGACTTAGGTGAACTACATTATTTTCTAGGTGTTCAAGTTGTTCGCTCGTCCGACAGCCTTCATTTTTCTCAACAGAAATATATTTCAGACTTGCTTCTTAAGTTTCACATGCATACTTGTAAGCCAGTTGGTACACCTTTAGCTTCTCGCACTACTATTTCTCTTGTGGATTGTGAGTTACTTTCAGAACCTAGTGAATATATGAGTATGGTGGGTGCACTTCAATACTTGACTCTGACTCGCCCTGATATTGCCTATGCTGTGAATGCCATTTCTCAATTTATGCATGCCCATCACACTACTTATTTGCATTGTGTGAAGAGTATATTTAGGTACTTACATGGTACTACTCACCATGAACTTTTCTTGCGTGCTTCTTCATCCAATTCATTGGTAGTTGTTTATTCTGATGTTGATTGGACTAGATGTCCTGATAGTAGGCGTTCTACTGCTGGCTTTGCTGTATTCTTAGGTTCCAATCTTATTTCTTGGCGTGTGAAGAAACAACCCATATTTTCAAGATCATCTGCAGAGGCTGAGTACAGGGCTATTGCCTATACGGTTGCTAAAACTTCTTGGATTCATCATGTTCTCTGTGAGTTTGGTCTTTATCTTCATAAACCAATGTGTGACAACATCAACTCAAAATACATGTCTCGTAACCCAGTATTCCATGATCGCTCTAAGCATATTGATATTTACAATAACTATGTCCGTGATAAAGTTGCTCAAGGGGATCTTGTTGTCTAATATGTGCCTTCTCACTTACAACTTGCTGATATTTTTACAAAGGAATTATCCTCATCCTATTTTTTCGTTTTGCGTGACAATCTGTCCGTGATGTCACCACGTCCAGATTGAGGGGCATATTAGGACTCATAGTCCATGTACTTGTTGGACTCATAATCTATAATTTGTGTTGTACTAGGTTACTTATTCTTCTAACCAGTATCCCTTTTGTATTAATTATATATATATGAACATATTTTTTGTGAATGGTGTTCCTGAGCAATTTTATAACTTTGCATTTCTTTGTTCGAATTTTATCTAACGTGTGTGGTTCTATTTTGTAGAAATGGCTAGATCAAAGGTCAATGGAAGGAATCAACTACTTCGAAAGCGGGCAAGAGGGAACGTGATTAATGAGGAGGTTGTAGCCTCCTGGACCCCGATTTCCAAACTTCCTCCAAAAGGGGTAAAGGGCAAGGACAAAGGCCATATATAACCTACACAAGCGGAGGGGATCTACGACAGTGAGGATGTTTATGCCACTCACCTCACCTCTTCAGAGGTTGAGGGCCACTCTAAGGGCAGTTCTCTAGCATCCGTCTCTGAGCCGAAAGATGACCAACTCATACAAGCTAGGAGAGTAGACCTACGCTCCAAGTCAATGAATGATCCATATAGGATCCCGATGCCTCCTACACCTCTTCAACCTCCAGCTCCAGCTCAGGTAGCAGTGCAGGTTCCACTAGTTCAGGTTCCTGTACCATGGTCACTCAATAGACTAAAGGTCGAGGGTTTGAGGACCATTCTAGAGAAAAAATGGTTGTCTACGGATAGTGTGGTAGATTGGTACTCAGAAGTGTGGAGGAGCACCTTGAAGTTCCACCAGTTTGAAATATTCACAAAGCCCCGAGGCCCTAACATTCCTACTTGGTTTTGGGAGTTCTACTCATTATATGGGGAGCTAGTCCCGAAGGGAAAAAAGAAGGCCAAATCATTTAAACCAATAGATCATGGGATGGTCCGGGGCTGGAAGGTGAAGTGTAGCAGCTCGGACATCAATGAGGTACTCAGGTGTTTAAGGGACTTCATGCACTATTACGTTGACAAAGTCCATAAGAAGACCCTTGATCATTTGAAGGGTTGGCTAGCACCTCTCATCTCCGTTGTGACCCCAAGATGGATTGAGGCCGGTGTGTTAATTGAAAAGAAGGACTTGAACGTGGCTACCAGAACGTGGCTGCCAATTCTTTGGGTGTGATCATGTGATTATTTTTTCTAATTAGCTTATGGGTATTGTTGTTTACTAAGTTAAATGTTGTTTTAAAGTGGGTTTGATTGATAGATGTGTATTAACTCATGAATTGTAGTTGCAAATGTAATTCTAACTTAGTGTCCTGGCTTGCTTGAGAGAGATGTTCTAGAGCTAAGGTTATCAATTAATGATTGTAGTGATTGGGTTATTATGGGTTCAGCTCAAGAGAGTGAATCCTAATTCGATCCTACCTATCTAGCTTGAGAGAGTAGATAAAATAAGGTTTTGGGCTGTTTATATTGTTAAGCTTGTCGAGGTTCAAGAGAACTCGCTTCAATTGTAATAGTTGTTTGAGGGAAAGCTATTGCATTTATTGTCTAGCCTACCGACTGAGATTTAGCAATTGTATCTAAATTTCAATTGTCCATATAGCGAAATTAGCCGATAATCTATCATATCCCCGATAATCTTTGTCTACTTGTCTACTCCCCTATTTTTGTAACTGATGTAGTTGATAATTGACACTTTTAAACCCCTCATCTGACATTCATTGTCAAACTATTAACTTACTTTGCTTGGTTTCAGTCATGTCTACTTATATAACCGATTAGACCACAAGCTTTACCTCTTAATTGAATTCCATAGTATACCGCTCACTGTGGGTTCGACCCAAACTCTTTGTTGGGTTTTATACTATATTATGATTGCCTACACCTAGTTTTGGATGAGGTGTAGTTGAGCGTTTATCAATATACACGGTTTATGAGAAATGTGAGTTTTCTAAACTCATCATCATATCGATGCTCAATACTACTCTGAATAGTATATACTCATGCTCAACGTTTTAAAAACATACTCTTCCTCTGGTTTAAGATAATTTCTCAAACTATCCTATTAAAGGAGGTAAATGTTCTTGTAATATCTTTTAACTCATATCTTATTTAGGAATCAAAGTTTCTCTTTTATCAATGTAAAAATTGGTACCTTTGGGAAAACTTAGTTCCCTTATACCCTTACTCAATTCATACATGAAAACTCTTTTTCAAAATATATTAAAATCATATTGTGATATGGTCATTGATGACTCGGGAATTCATACTGCATAAACATTGATGGTATATCTAGATACCATACTGCTTAAACATTGATGGCATACTCGATTTCATACTAATCATGTTTTAAAACTCTTTCTCAAAACTCATCTTCGCTTTCTTAGAAAATCATTTTAAGAAAATAATGTTTGCTTTAAAAGATTATTAAAAAATATTACTCAAAATATGGTTCATGCTGAAATATAGACATGAACGAATCAACTCAAGGATCTTAATAACAATATAGAAAACTCAATACTAAGAACTCAAGAACTCAGAACTCAAGGACACTACTCATCTCAAGAATACTCAATTCATCGGGTTCATGTTGAAATAGAGACATGAACGAATCAACTCAAGAATCTTAATGCATAACATATAGAAATTCAATAATTAGGAATAAAATTTCAAAAAGAAATAGAAACTCGAGAACTCAAAATACTCTTATCTCAAGAATACTCAAATCTAGGGATAGAATCCTAGATTACTCTTTTACTGATTTGAAATTAGATGTAGGATGTGAGAACAAACTAGTCCAACACTATGATAGCCTTACATACATGAAAGAACAAGGTTCTTGAAGATTCTTGAAGAAGAACTTGATTAGAAGCCTTGAAACCCTAGCTTGAAGGTAAACAATCAAGCAACCCTTTCTTGAGATTCTTGAATTAGTTCTTTGAAATATCTATTGCCCAGAATTATGATTTTCATCAGTGATTCATAATTGTCTGGAGGAATTTGAGTTGGAAAGGATGGAATTCCTGGTGAAAGACTTACCTTGAAGAAGAATCTTGAAAAAGATTTAAAGAATCTTGAATGGAATCTTCTACTTTGATTTTCCCTTAGGGTTTTGTCTTAGGGTTTGTGAGAAAAGAGAATAATGGATTAAGATATTAAAATCTGATTGTTTTGGGTCTATAATTAGTCAAGAAATTTATTTAGGGTTTTCTTAGAGGTAAAAAGAGAAAAATTATCCTTTTTAATGTTTCCCCGTCGTCTAATTCGTCCCCCTGCACTATATCCAATTACAAAAATGCTCATAACTTTTTACTCAAAACTCGAATTGTTGCGAAATTTGTGGCGTAGGAAAGAAGATTCAAGTACCTTTCTTTGAAAGGTTATGGGCTATGTAACTCTTTATATTCTACAAGATATGGTCGTTTGAAGTTGATCTAAAGAGAATCTTACAACAAAACTTAATCAGCAAGAAAATTTTCAACTCAAATTTGTGGTAGGAGTTTTTAGTGACCATAATTGATATCCAAAATAATTTCCACACTCAATAATTTACCTTTACACATATGGAAAATTTAAGAATCACCCGATACGACCTTACATGTAAATGAAGAATAGTTCGGATCTTACCTTAGAATTTTTTGGAGTGTTACAATATCTCCCCCTTGGGATCATTCGTTCTCGAATGATGGTTAAACTGAGGATGAAAGGGGAAGAAGTTACTCTGACTATCTTTCTTACTTTTAAACTTGCCTACTAACATAGGTGGAGTTGAATCATACAATGAGCGTGGAACTATCCATAGCACATAAGTCAAGAATGATATGAATATGAGCATAGTCACGCTCTATCTGAAGTTATTTGATATAAGGCAAGGATATTTGGGAACAAGGTAAGAATAGGAACACTATGCCTTGAGTAATATGACTGGTAGTTTTGAAGCTTAGAAATACTTCTCAACTATGCTCTTCTTTCTTATTACCACAAATCATTGGCTGCAACTCATAGCTACCACAAGGGTTTATGACTATTTTAACCATGGTCTATGTTAAACTATTTGCTCTTACTGTGCTCAAGCCTAATCCCTAAATCACAAGATACAAAACATTTGATGTTTATACAAATCTAAACCACAAGATTGAGGTTTAATGGCTCTATAGGAAATCTCATCCCATGAATACTACTCCATACCACTACATTAAACAACACTTCGAGTCCTAGTCAAGAAACATCTAATGAATCATGTATTCATCCACATGTAACAACACAAGATTCAAGCCTAGTACTATAATGACTCCATGGACTCCTACTAACTAATCATTCTAAGAATTTCTCATTCGCTTGTCATCTCTACCAACTGAAATTTCACACATTACTATGAGGAACCGACTACTTTCTCTCATTTAACTATTACTCATAGTAAAACTTCATTCATCCATCCTCAACTTTTATAAACTTCGATGGAATAAGCACACTACCACTACAAACATAAGAAACGTCAACCTTCTCCTTCTATCGTGACTCAACTACTATCATCCACATCACTATCAAAATTGAAAAGGATCATTGAAAGAGATTTACTGCAAAAGATCATAAGCACGATTCATTCGATAGTTTTTGATATAATAATATGCATGACATAACTTTATTTTGCTAGCCATTAAGACCAAATCATGAATTTGTGAGATTGAGCGTACTATGAGACATTTGTTCTTATATGAATAAGTCTATATCATGAGGGTGATAACCATAACTTTTTGGAGTAAGATTGAGATTAATGGGCTAAAGTTTTTACCCCACATTCTGGAATCTAAGCATAGATGTGAATCATTCTAAAGTGTATGAGCATAAGTCATAGACATAATTCTAATATTAGAACCATCAACATGATATTGTAATAACTAAACTTAAGGAATACGCAAGATTTTGAATGGATGGGTATA